TTTCCGTCTTTCTGTTCCGTCACTTCAAGTAGAGCTAACTCCCCTCCCAAGGCCATGCCCTTGCCTCCTAAGAGTGGCAGCAGTCCACTGGAAGGAAGAGGTGTTTCTCTCTAGAGTCAGATTCTTAGTCTGGCTTTCCAACTTCCAGCCTCAAGTGACCCCATTTCTGTAGCAAGCCAAGCACAGGAGGAAATGAGGAATCCCTTCTTTTCTACCATCCAGTCATTTGGCAGGAGGCTACAGTTCACTTGAGAAAGGGATGTGGCTGCAGTGGCTGGTGGCCAGGCTTTAGAGGAGGCCTTTGAGACTCAAAGTTAGGAAAGGTGAGCTTCAGATCACCTAGATCATTTACCTATGGCCCAGCTTCCCTGAGGTGCATGTCAAGTAGCCACAGCTATAATCTGGTGGTGACTCTTAGCACCATCAATTGCATTAATGGACCTTTCTTGAGCCATCTTGTCCACCTGTCTGGTCTGACTACCACTGAGATCTTGCATCCTTAGGCATCTATTTTGTCATCTGCTCTGAAGACCCATAAAGTGATTCTCTACCCCCCACTCCCTCCTTCTCTCCCTCCCTCCTTCCCTTCCTCTTTCTTTCTCCTCATCATAAACACATTTGTCCAGGGTAAGACAAGATACATTTCAACAACCCTCTGTCAAGAAAGATCCTTGCCCAAATATCCAGAAAAGTAGCCCTAACCAGGAGTCTCCATCCTGTTCTAAAGAAGCAGACCCCCCATCCCCAGTCACCCTCTCTCTCTCTCTCAGGAGGCCATCATCCCCAAAATCTCTGGAAAAGATACACTTCTCTTTGAGAATGGTTGAGGGGTGATGTCTCTCTAGGTCCCCAATAAAGCTATGCAAGACAGGAGCAGGGGATCTCACGGCCTGTTCTTGCTATAAAAAGACATTTTTCAGAAAAAAAAGTAATAAAGAAAGAAATCAGCCAATCCGTCCTCAATGCCATCACCTCTTCTTGGTGATTTTTCGGGGAAGGAGTGGGCGGGTTGCCATGGCAACAGATGCAAAGAGCTTGTCTCAGTAAAGAAGGGACCTTGATATTTTTTTCTCTCTCTCATTCTCTCTCTCAGTTGTGTGTGTATGTGTGTGTGTGAGTGCTGCGCATGCCTGTGCCCACACCAGGAATTTTTTTTTAGAACTAAAGAAAGCCCTTCTCTTCCCTCAGCTCCCCAAATATGGAGCGATGGAAAACCACTTACTCCTGCAGGCCAGGGAGGATTCGGGATAATTCAAGAAAAAAGGGAGAGGTCATATGGGGCTCCCTTCCTCCATCTTTTTACTAGAGATTGCATGCAATACATACTTTCACAAATGGTTGGGTTCAGTGGTTGGATAGAAAGGAAGATGCTGGGTGGAAAGAAGTAAGGGATAGTTTGTGCAAGAGGCCAACAGTGATATCGAGAGGGCAACAGAAGGTGCACTGAGGTTGGGGATGCATACATTCTCCATTGGATGCTGAGAAAGAGGCAGAGAGCAGACTCACATATAGACACACACACAGACAGGGAGGCACACAGAAAACTGCAAACATGAACACATACACAAACATAGAACTACACACAACACAGGAAGTGGTGGACATTTTTTACAAAGACAGACATAGATGCAGGCATCAGCAAATGCATAGATATACAGGGATACAGACACACAGCTATGAAGGCAAATGCAGACAGACACAGACATACAAATACAGTCACAGTCAAATGGACAGACAGACACATGCACACCTTCAGTCTGGCTCCCTCCCTTCAATTGCCCAAGCATCCCTAAACAGCAGTGCATAGCTGAGAATGCTGAGAATACTGCAGGCTCACACCGTGGGTTTAACTGGGTGGCTCCTCTTCCCCCCATTCCTTCTACACATTCACCCCTAAGCCCCTATTTTTTTAAGTAGGCTCCACACCCAGTGTGGAGCACAATGCAGGCCTCAAACTCACGACCCTGAGATCAAGACCTGAGCTGAGATCAAGAGTTAGATGCTCAAACAACTGAGCCACCCAGGCACCACAGTCAAAGCCCCTCTTTCAATTCATTTCTTGCCCATTTTCCCATAGCCAATGGGCTCTGATACCTCCCCCATCTCAAGCTTCCAATTCTTAGCCTGTTCTGTTCTGCTGCTGCTGCTTGCCGATTCAAGGAGGGGGAGAGTGGGGTGACTCAGCCAGGCCAGGATGACTCACACTGCCAGTATTTTTAGCAGCGGCCAGGAGCTCTCTAGCGTGCCAGCCGCCCCCCTCCTCCTGCTTGCTATTTTGGAACCGTCACTGGTGATATAAATAGCTCCTCTCCCACGGCCTGAAGCTGCTGCCAAGCTATTTTTGGTTCTGCACAGTTAAAAATAGCTTCACGGAGGTGGGAGGCAAGGGGAGTGGGAGCTGGCCTAGGGAGAGGAGACATTGGGGCATACAGAGCTTCTCAACTTGAATTAGAGTGGGCGAAATAGGATGAGCCCTTCTCTTCCCCCTCCCTGTCCCTTTCTAGGCCCTTCTTTCCTTCCAGAGGGCCTTCCCTCCAGCCCATTCTGGAAAAATGCAAGGGTTCCCTTGAGCTCATTCTTCTTTCATGCTTATTTTACTCCTCCAGCTCAGAAACCTTGGGCCCCTAAAACCCTCTCCCATATTCATCCTTGGAGGAGAAGTGGACTGCTAACTGGGGCCTCACTCTGAGACCTTTGTGAACTCAAGCCCTACTTTGATGTCCAGGTAGACCATGGCCAAATTACTTCCTGGGTTGTTTTGTTTTGTTCAGCACCATGGACAGTGGTCAGTGCCCCATTCTTTCACTGCGTCTCTGTTCAGCTCGCTGGAGACTGGCTGGGCCCGACAAACAGATAGTTCTTATCATGGAAAGGGGTACTAAGATAGTCTCCCAGCCAGGGCTAAAGCATCGGTGGGTGAAGAAATCAGGAACACTGCCCTGGATTTTCATACAAGAATGGGATCCAAAGATCAAGGGCTTGTCCAAACAGAAGTTTGAGGGAGGGATGGATGGGTACATCAGGGGTCAGATAGAGATGGGAGTGGAACAGAGATGTACTTCCTGAAGGAAGGATTTCTCTGTAATCCAGATAAATAGGGTTAGAGAGAGTGGCAGACAGACAGACACAAACACCTCTTCCCTTCATCTCAGCCATGCCATTGAACACAGGATGGATGATGGAGATGGCCCCAACCTCTGCCAAAATGGCACAAAATGGTCACAACTGGACGCCCAGTCACCCTCTTCTAAGGGTGCCTTAACCCTTCTCCTCAGCTGTCTTCTGTCCCCACTCTGCCTCTCTTGCCACCACAATTTCCCATGGGGATGAGGAGTTCCTTGAACCCAAATTTTGCTTCTTGGTGTCAAAGTTTATCCCCACGCTTCCTATGTAACTTTCTACAATCAGGCCAATCCCTCTCCCTCCAATTTTTAGGTGGTCTTATTTTCAGCCTCTTAGTGATTTCACACAGATCCTTATTCTACCATAAGATTTCACATAAAATGTCCCCTAGACCACTTCTTCTCCTTTTATGGGATTCTAGGGGAAAGAAAGGCTTCCCTCAGCCCCTGTAGAGAGCAATCATCTGTGCTGAAAAGAAAAAAAAAGGAAAGAAGGAGATAGAGGGCAAAGGTGACATGATGCGGAGACAAAACTGATGAAGAGAGGAAGGGGGTCTCGAGAGAGCAGAAGGGGGAACGTTTCGGGGGGGCGGTACAAAGCTGAGAAAGACCACCAAGCAGGCAATGAGATTCAGAAACTAGTCGGGGCCAAGGGAGGAGGATGTGGAGGGTTGAAGGTTGAGAGACAGAACAAGGAGTCCTAGCGCCGAAGATGGGGAGGGGGTTGGAGAGGGGTATGGAGGACAGCCCGACGGAGTTACGGGGTCCCTGGCAGGTGCGGGGATCTCGGAGGGTGCAGCACAGCCCCCTCGTTTCTTTGCTGCTTCCCTATCTTCCCCGCCAGAGACAGGGGGGAGCCCTCCGGAGCGGTGCGGAGGCAGCCAGGCCCCGCCCGTCGCCGCCGCCGCGGCAGCCGCCGGAGGATTCCTGTCCTAATATGGAGCTGGGATTCCCCCGGCCCCGCCCCCGCCCCCGGCCCGCCGGGAGACCGAGGCTTGCAGTCGGGCGGGGGGAACCGCTCGCTTTGGGGGCTGGCAACGGGGTGGGGGAAGGGATACCTAGGTGCAGACCCAGATCCTCACGGTGCCTTGGGACCCTGCCTCAGTTTCCCCTGTTAGTGGCTGCAGTTAATTAGTTGACAGGGAAACCGAGAATTACTGCAGACTACAGCGTTGGTGTTGGTATTCCTATTCTTGGCTGTGGGAAAATAGAACCAAGGCCAAATTCAGGGGGTCCCTCTCCCTCAGGACCCCCTTTTCACCCCACCCTAGAGACTTAGACTTCCATGTAATGCCCCCTGCTAAATGCCAAAGCCCGGGTTTTGAAAGGGTGGGGGGAGGAGATTTGTTCTTTGAAAGTGACTAAGGGAATCCCAGATTGAGTAATCCCTAGAGAGAAATCCCAGCGGCGACCTATCCCGCAGAGGCCGAGGAGGGTTCTTCTCCCACATGTGAACGTGACCTTTGTCTGGCACATAGCAAGGAGGAATTTGTAAACTACCCTGCTCCTCCCCCATTTCCTTATCTCCTGAGAAAAATCGATGTTGGAAACAGCCCCTCCCTCCCCTCTACAGACTCTCCTGCCAGGGGCTTCAGACCGCCTTAACCCTTACCCTGTCCCTTCCCTCAGCTGAACACATTTGGACCCCTGGGTCCCTGCACCCCCTTTCAGGCTTTCCTAATGCAGCGCCTGCTTCTCGGCTCAGCTGCCGCCAGCCGCGGCCCCCTCCGCAGCCTCCGTTCTCCCCCTCCTCCCGTCCCCCCTCCCGCTCTCATTCTACGTCATGGGATGACGTCGGGAGCCAGGGAGGGAGGAGGAGCTCTCCCCCCTCCCCAGCCAGCGGCTCCCGCTGCAGCTTGCTTAGCCCAGCCTCCTGCTTTCCCGCCCCCCCTTTCTCTAAAGCGAGCCCCCCACGCCTAGCAGGAGCTATATAAGGCGGAACGAAGCAGGCGACGGGGGCAGCGCAGCCGAGCGGAGCCCAGGAGAGGAGAGAGGAGAGAGAGAGCCTGAGCGAGAGACGGGGAAGCAAGAAGGAAGAAGCTACCGGTGCGTCGGGACGGGAACGCAGGTGTTCGGAGCACCGGAGCTGGAGCTCTGCAGCCGCTAGTCATGTACCGCTCCACCAAGGGCGCCTCCAAGGCGCGCCGCGACCAGATCAACGCTGAGATCCGGAACCTCAAGGAGCTGCTGCCTCTGGCCGAAGCGGACAAGGTCCGGCTGTCCTACCTGCACATTATGAGTCTTGCTTGCATCTACACCCGCAAGGGCGTCTTCTTCGCTGGAGGTGAGCAAACTGGGGCTGCTGGAGACGGGGGGCAATGGAGCTAAGGGAACCCACGGAGACTGCTGCATGTCTAGGGCAGTGTGGCGGAGAGCTGGGGAGAGAAGGGAGACTTAGGGAACTCAGGACTTCCTACTTTTCCTCATGAGCTCTGTTCAGACCTCACCTTAGTTCTGGATGAGGGTAGGAGCCTGGATAGGGTCCCCGGTGCCAGAATCATGGGAGAAGGAGAGCCAGGACAGAATGGCCCTAGTTCCCACAAGCGCAGAGGCTTTCCAGGAGCCCGGGGAGGGAAGCCTGGGAAGTTGCAGGGATGGAGTCACCAAAACCCGGGCAAGTGCATCCATGGTTCTCTATGCTGAAAGTGGGCGCTTCTTCAGCTTTTGAAGCGCTGTCCGCGGTGCTGACAGCACCACTGGGTTGCAAGGCGCTGCTCGCGGTGCTGAACGCCCAGTCAGCTTTTGAGCGCTGTCCGTGGGTCTGAAATTCGGGGCCAAGAAAGACCTAGCCCCGACTTAGAAGTCAAAGGGCTCTCTGGCTAGGGAGATCCAGCAACAGGTTCCCTGGGCAAGAGCTGTGGGCAGCGGGTCAACAGGTGTGTGCAAAGGCAGGTTCATGAAAAAATTCCTCTGGATTTTCTGAAACTCAGTCCATGCTTCCTCACTCATGCTTTGCCTCCCAGTTTTACTCCTGACCCACCATGTCTTCTTACCCTGCAGGCACTCCTCTGGCGGGCCCCACAGGACTTCTCTCATCTCAAGAGCTTGAAGACATAGTGGCAGCACTACCTGGATTTCTACTTGTGTTCACAGCTGAGGGGAAGCTGCTATATCTGTCTGAGAGTGTGAGCGAACATCTGGGCCACTCCATGGTGAGTGGTGAGGGTCCTCTCAGTCTGGGCTAGGGCACATATGGGACACAATGAGCTTTCCACTTTTGAGAATTTGAGAATTACTGAGGAGGGGAGGTTATACCCTGACAGATGCTATGTGCCAAGGATTGGCCCTTGCTGCCTTCACTAAATGTCATCTCATCTCTTCTTCACCTTTCTCCAGGTGGACCTCGTTGCCCAGGGTGACAGTATCTACGACATCATTGACCCAGCTGACCACCTAACTGTGCGCCAGCAGCTCACCCTGCCCTCTGCCCTGGACACTGGTAAGAACTCCCTTCTCCCTCTCTCAGTCAAACCTCCTTCCTGCTTCCCTGCTCTTCCCTATGTGCTATGGCTTTCAACCAATCCACCCTCTTAATCAGTTTTTCTCTCCATTTACCTAGATCGCCTCTTCCGCTGTCGCTTCAACACCTCCAAGTCTCTCAGGCGCCAGAGTGCAGGCAACAAACTGGTGCTTATTCGAGGCCGATTCCATGCTCATCCACCTGGGGCCTACTGGGCAGGAAACCCTGTTTTCACAGCTTTCTGTGCCCCACTGGAACCAAGACCTCGCCCTGGTCCTGGCCCTGGCCCTGCCTCACTCTTCTTGGCCATGTTCCAGAGCCGTCATGCTAAGGACCTGGCCCTGCTGGACATATCCGAGAGGTAAGCCCAGAATGTTCAGACTCCAGGAAGAAGGCAAGCCAGATATGAGGGGACCCTAGATTCTGGAGTCAGGGGCAGGGAGGACGGGGTGTAAGGGGACAGAGGACCTGGGAGGGAGTGAGATGCCTGGGTATAAAGCAGGGAAAACAGAAAGCTGACCTCACCCTTTCCACCTTCCCAGTGTCCTAATCTACCTGGGCTTTGAGCGCAGTGAACTGCTCTGTAAATCATGGTATGGACTTCTGCACCCCGAGGACCTGGCCCACGCTTCTGCTCAACACTACCGCCTGTGTGAGTGTCCAGAGAGGCTGGGGAACAAGACAGGGAGCTGGGAAAGGTGATGGGAGGCCCAACCAAGAAGGGCTGTGGTCAAGACTTATGCTGGGGAGATGCCAGAGACCAATAATTTTGGATACTATAGGGTGAACTTTAGGGTGAGGAGTCAAAGTGAGAATATAATCAGAACTGGGGGACTCCAAGTGGTGAGGTCAAGGTGGGGAGCTGAGTGGTGCAGGTCAGGGTAGTCAGAAATAGAGATGTCATCGATATCCCAATTCAGTGGAGAGGTCAGCAAGGGGGGAGTTTAAGTGGTGTTGCCCAATGGACATCCTAACTCTGCATCTCTTCTTTCCCTTCAGTGGCCGAGAGTGGAGATATTCAGGCAGAGATGGTCGTGAGACTGCAGGCCAAGCCTGGAGGCTGGGCATGGATTTATTGCCTGTTATACTCAGAAGGTCCAGAGGGCCCTATTACTGCTAATAACTACCCAATCAGGTGAGCTGCAAGGCAGGAGCCTGGAGGATAGTTGAGGTGGACATAGAGGAGATACAAATCAGGGAACTTCTCTGGGAAAGACCACCAGACCCTTACCATCTGCCTCTTCTCTCCTTTCCAGTGACACGGAAGCCTGGAGCCTCCGCCAGCAGCTGAACTCTGAAAACACCCAAGCAGCCTATGTCCTGGGCACCCCAACCATGCTGCCCTCATTCCCTGAGAACATCCTCTCCCAAGGGCAGTGCTCTAGCCCCAACCCACTCTTTACCCCAGCCCTGGGGGCTTCCAGAAGCACCAATTTCCCTAGTGCTCCAGAGCTGGGTGCTGCCTCAACATCAGAAGAGCTTCCCCAATCCCAAAAAGAGCTGGGCTTTAGTTACCTGGCATTCCCGTCTGGCTCTGAGCCTTCTCTTCATGCAGATCTGAGCAAGGATCTTGTGTGCACCCCACCCTACACACCTCACCAGCCAGGAGGCTGTGCCTTCCTCTTCAGCCTCCACGAGCCCTTCCAGACCCACTTGTCCACTCCATCCAGCTCTCTCCAAGAACAGCTGACTCCAAGCACTGCAACCTTTTCTGATCAACTGACGCCCAGCAGTGCAACCTTCCCAGATCCACTGACTAGCCCACTTCAAGGCCAGCTGACCGAAACCTCAGCCAGAAGCTATGAAGATCAATTGACTCCCTGCACCTCTGCCTTTCCAGACCAGCTGCTTCCCAGCACCGCCACCTTCCCAGAGTCTCTGGGTAGCCCTGCCCATGAGCAGCTGACTCCTCCCAGCACAGCAATCCAAGCACACCTCAACAGCCCCAGCCAAACTTTCCCAGAGCAACTGAGCCCCAATCCCACCAAGACTTACTTCACCCAGGAGGGATGCAGTTTTCTCTATGAGAAGTTGCCCCCAAGTCCTAGCAGCCCTGGTAATGGGGACTGCACGCTCCTGGCCCTAGCCCAGCTGCGGGGCCCCCTCTCTGTGGACGTCCCTCTGGTGCCCGAAGGCCTGCTTACACCTGAGGCCTCTCCAGTCAAGCAGAGTTTCTTCCACTACTCTGAGAAGGAGCAGAATGAGATAGACCGCCTCATCCAGCAGATCAGCCAGTTGGCTCAGGGCATGGACAGGCCCTTCTCAGCTGAGGCTGGCACGGGTGGGCTGGAGCCACTTGGAGGTCTGGAGCCCCTGGACTCCAACCTGTCCCTGCCAGGGGCTGGTCCCCCTGTGCTCAGCCTGGACCTGAAACCCTGGAAATGCCAGGAGTTGGATTTTCTGGCTGACCCTGATAACATATTCCTGGAAGAGACGCCCGTGGAAGACATCTTCATGGATCTCTCTACCCCAGACCCCAATGGGGAATGGAGTTCAGGGGATCCTGAGGCAGCGGTCCCAGGAGGGGCCTCATCGCCTTGCAACAACCTGTCCCCAGAAGACCACAGCTTCCTGGAGGACCTGGCCACATATGAAACCGCCTTTGAGACAGGTGTCTCAGCATTCCCCTACGATGGGTTTACTGATGAGTTGCATCAACTCCAGAGCCAAGTTCAAGACAGCTTCCATGAAGGTGAGTCCAACCAAAATGTTCAGGAACTTCAAGTCCCTGTCTTGCCAATGAGATGCTTGTAGAATTAGATGAGTAAAAATTCCCCTTTCTGTACCTTAATTTTATTAATGGGATAACAACACCTGCTGCCCAGGGTAGCAGTGAAGATAAGAACTAGTAAAAAAACTTAACATAGATGTTCTGAACAAGCAGGCCTAGAGGGCAGGGGTCAGGGATGCAGCATAAAGTGCAAGAGAATCCTTGGTTAGTGGCTTGTGCTTTTTAACTCTGGGAGGGACCTAGATCAGCCATCACCACCCATTTCACAGATGAAGAAAATCAAAGTCCCAGAGTTACAGAAACTTGCTTAAGGTCATACAACAAATTGATGGAAGAGGGATTAGAGTTCTATCTCAGTATTCTTATCTCCTAAAGAGAATACAGAGCAAGAGTCTGTAAGAGTTTGGGAAAGAAAGAAAATGAAACTCAGGCCCTGGCCCATCGGAGGCTCCTTGCCCATGGCTCCCTCCTTTCCAAAACTAGAGTCATAGTTTCATTCCATCCACCCAGATGGTTCCCTTATCTTGCTGAGCCTCTGGTGATCATTCGGTCATTGGACCAACATATTTGAAGGCTGTACCTTGTGCCAACAGCATGCCACATCCTCAACCTATCTTTCCTAATGACCTTACTGACTGTACCCTCTCTCTCTCTCTGCAGATGGAAGTGGAGGGGAACCAAGGTTTTGAATAAGTCTGTGACTTAACGTCGTCAAGTATGGCATATTGTCATCAAGACGTGGAGCCGCTCTCCACCCCCCCGGGACTGTTGGGGGGATTCTGGGGGCCGGAGGGGGATATATCTGATTCCCCAGGCCCTGCAGGATTTTGGGGGGGGGGAGGTGGGAGGGCAAGGGAGGGGAGCTTCTTTTTAAAATTTAGAGACTTCAAGCAATCCCAGTTTCCATTTCAATCTGTATTCACTCGTAGTGAGTTTCCTTGAATGGGATTTCAAGCGGAGAATGGGGGAGTCTCACTTCCCCACCCCCCGCACTACCCCATGGGCCTGGGCCAGTTCTCCACTCCTGGGGGCCAAGCCACCCCTGGGCCTTGGTGGGGGAAAGGCAGCGCCCACCTGGGCCAGCCTGTGCCCTCAGGGGCTGACACCCACGTAGAATTCTCTACACACCAGTAACGGGATTTCAATTCCGATGGACTCTGCCGCCCTGGCGGCCCTTCTTGTGACTTTTGCGCCCCGCGCCTGGGGTGGGGGGCGCGAAGAGACGCTACGTTCCTTTCCGATGGAGGAAGGCAGACCTGCCACTGTCACACGTGCGCTTGCACGAGTGCGTGTACCTGGTACGGGACTCACCCGGCTGCCAGACTGCCTGGGCCTGCCCAGGCAGCCACCGCGTGGTGCTGCGGTGACTTTGTAGCCAACTTTATAATAAAGTCCAGTTTGCCTTTTTGGTACCACTGGTGTGCACCGCTGTGAAAAGGGAAGAGTGGGCATCTGAGAAGGTTGGGAGGCCCCGAGGGGAGCCTGCGGGCCCGGAGGCAAAGACTGGGCCGACTGACAGCCCTGGGGCTTCTTCCTTCACTCATGCACTCATTCATTCCTTCACTCAACACACGCATGCAGGGTGTGGCCTACTCTGTGCTGGAAGCTAGAGAGTTCGGAGCCAAAACAGAATGCTGTCTCTTGCCTTCAAGGTGCTCTGGCATAAAATATTAGAGGGTATCGGAGTCTCCTGCCTGCCCCAGGCTGGCAGTGTTCACAGTGTGGGAGGGAGCAGAAGGGCCTGGGGATGGGCAGGGGATTCGACCTGATATTTTCGGGGACATGGGCTTAAAGTTTCAGAACATGAGTCTGTCTTCAGCCTGGTCCTGCAGGGAAGCCACTTCCCTTTGGGGCCCTGCATCTTCTCATTGGAAATGATAACCCCCTGCATTATGTCTGCATGGGGCTTTCAGTAGACAAACAGTTTTACATCCCTTGTCCACTACCATAAAGCCTCTAGACAGGCATATGAGCACCATTTCATGGATGAAGAAACTGAGGATCTCAGGTAACAAGTGATTTGCCCCACAGAGGTGGGCAATGTACCTATATCATCTGCATCCGAGTTCCGGGCTGTCCCCTCTGTTCCCAAAGCTGGTGAATCATGATCTCAAATTGTCCCATTCCAGATTACCTGAGAAGGTCAGGCTTGGGCTGGGGCAGGGGACCCTTCTCTTCTAGGTCTACAAGCTAGAACAGACCCCCAACTTCTGAGTGGAATATAACTAATTGGGTCAAGAGAAAAAGCTTTCAAAAATGCTGTTTTCCTCCAAACTTGAGGGCCCAATGGCCACAGGGTATGGTGGGGGGTTGGAGAATGAAAACCAGGAGACAGAAAGACCTGGATTCAAATCCCACCTCCAACAATTATTTGCTGAGTGAGACCTGAGCCTCAGTTTCTTCACGGGTAAAACGGGACTGAAGAAAAAAGGTGCTAACCTCTCAAAGATGCTGCTAGAACTTGATTGGGTCTTTATAAGCTGAGGAGAACAGAACAGACTTAACTTATTAAAGTGAGTTAGAAGACACTGGCGACCACCAAGTCTCAGAGAAGTTTCTTTCTCAAGGAGAGGAAGGACACTCCAATCTTCCTCCAGTGAAATACGGGGTGGGACTCCAGGAGCTGAGATCATGACACTGAGAATCCCCTAAACTTCCTCTCATTCAAAATCCCCCAGCTCCAGGGCCATCCCCTTGAGAGGGTCCCACAGGAAGGAAGACATTCCAGGGACCTGTCACCCCCTTTCCACCTTGGATCAATCCTTGGGAGAAACAGAAGGTGAAGTCTTGCCCTTTGCCTTCCTGTGCTCTGTCCTCCAACTTGGACAGAAGAACTGAACTGTAAGCCCCAAGACGCTGTCTTAGCTCCACTCCCCTGCTGACACCATGCACAGGGCTGAGCAGGCCCACCAGAAATATTTGATGGAGAGGACAGTTTCTGAAGAGCAGCCCAAGGATTTGAGTATAAAGTCATCAATTTCTACCCCCAAAAACTTGTTCCTGAGTTCTCCAGAAGGCAAAGGGTTTTAACTCTCAGCTACGAATCTTAAGCGAACATAAGCTCAAGATACCCACTGGAGTCCCATATAAAAACCTCCCTGGTGGTCATCAAAAAGGAAAGAAAAATCTGAGAAGCTGTAAACAGCCAAGAGAAGCCTAAGAAAAATGACAACAAAATATACAGTGTTATTCTGGATGGGATTCTGGAACAGAAATAGGACAGAGGTTAAAAAAAGAGAGAGATCCTAATAAATTATGGACTTTAGTTAATAATAATGTATCAGTATTGGCTCATTAATTGTGACAAGTGTACCAATAAGTGTAAGATGTTAATAATGGGGGAAATAATAAGCATGGAGTATATTTAACATTCCTAGAAATTTAAATCTATTCTGAAATTAAAAGTTTTTAAAAAAGTAAAACCAAATAAATGAAAATTTTAAAAATGAAAACATATTAGAAAAAAAGAAGCGCATCACTGGTGGTTTTTTATGGTAGCGGGTGATAGTAGACTGTGCGTTTTGATGAGGAGGCACCAGGGATCATTGAGAACCCGAGATCCCCGGGAGCGCAACCATGGTCCCGCACAGAGGAAATAATACGAAAGCCAACGGCTCCCCCTGCTGGAAAGAGAGGGATCTGTTTCTGTTCCTCTCACCAGCAAGGTCCCTGTGGCTCAGAGCAGCACAGCTAAGAACAAACGGATAAACTGAGGCTGGGAGAGAGGAAAGGACTTGCCCGATGGCACTCCCAGAGTCACTGCAGAAGCCAGCTCTACTCTCAGCCAGGTCCCTTTCCACCAGTACCAACTCTGCCCTGGGAGCAGAATGTAGGAGAAAGGGCTCAAGTTTGGGGGTCAAAGACTGAGTTCAGGTGCTGACTCCGCAGCTCCATGTGCTGGGGATGCGGCGGCGCACAAGACGGACAAGGTCCCTGGGCCCACAGAGCTCATATTCTAGTTGTGGGGAGACATAACAAAAAGTAAACAAGCGATCTAAGAGAGAATATACAGTGTGTACAACAAGGGAAAGAACCAGGGTCCTGTGATAGAAAACCACAACTCTAGTTTAGAGTTTTCTAACTTAGAGTGGGTGTCAGAAAAAGCTTTATAAGGAGATAACACTGGGGCGCCTGGGTGTCTCAGTCAGTTAAGCGTCTGCCTTCAGTTCAGCTCATGATCCCAGAGTCCTGGGATCGAACCCTGCATTGGGCTCCCTGCTCCATGGGGAGCCTGCTTCTCCCTCTTCCGCTCCCCCTGCTTGTGTTCCCCACCCCCTCTGTCAAATAAATAAATAAAATCTTAAAAAAAAAAAAAAGGAAAGGAAAACCTTTATAAGGAGGTAACATTGGGGTGCCCGGCTGGCTTGATCTCAGGGTTGTGAGTTCGAACCCCCCGTTGGGTGTAGAGATTACTTTAAAATTTTTTTAAATCTTAAAAAAAAATGAGGTAACACTGAGCTATGACCTAAAATGTGAGAAATAGAAATAAGAATGTTCCAGGCCAAAGGAAAGCAAGAGTAGAGGTGTTTAAAAGAAAGGATGTGACCTGTTTAAGGAATAACAAGGAAATCAGTGTGGCTGAACCAAGGTCAGCAAAAGGAGGGAAAAGATTACCGAGGGCCTTCGACCATGGTAAGAAACTCAGACTTGATTTCATGTGCAATAGGAATCCACTGAGTACACTTGAGCAGAGGAATGACATGATTACATGTTTAAGTCATCCCTCTGGCAGTTGTGCGGAAAATGTAGAAACAACAAGAAGTAGACGAAGTAAAATTCCAGAGAGGAAAGAGCCTTTTCATGTGTGAGCTGATGATCCCATCATCTTCTTCCTTGGAGAAATTTTCCTATTCTGGGTGTAGGTGGATTGGTTTAGTCCAGGCAGAGGGAATCCATTGGTAGTGAGTTTTGGGGTGACCATCAGGGGCTGGTGTAGTGGATTGGAAATTGGATGAGCTCCCAAATGCATGGTCTGTTTTAGTAAAATTTTTGTTAAATTTTGTTGCTAAATTCTGGACTAGGGTGTGGGAAGACTGGGAGACTGAGATGAAAGCTAAAAGACAAAGAGAATCCCCCCTGGTCCCATGGTGCTGAAGAAGAAAGACCCTTAAGAGGCACAGAGCCTGCCCAAACTTGTGATCAGTCTCCCCATCAAGACATTTGCCAGATTTCAAACTTGCATGGGGAAGAATGTTAAGCTCAAACCCTCTGAGGGGCAGAATGGAATTCCCCTAGTCTTTCAGAGCCGAAGAAAAATAGGCCTTTCAAACTGCAAAAGCACTTCAATGGAGGGAGAATAGTTTTTTTCAACAAATGGTACAAATAAGGTATCGTTGGGGCTGGGGCGGGTGAGGGAGGGAAGAACCTTAAGCTAAGCCTCACATCTTTTACAAAAATTAAGGAATGAAATTTATGTCTTTCAGGAATAATCATAACGGCTTTAAATGTAAAATATAATTATACTCTGGATATGGTTTAAGAGGACATGGCCATAGTAAATTAAGTTTTTATGGTGTGGACAGAGAGCTAAACAAAAAACATATAAAATATAAAACTTGTAGAAGAAAACACAAAAGAAAAATCTTAGGTACCAGGGGCTGGATGAAGAGTTCTTAGTTGTGACACCAAAAGCATAATCCATAAAAAGAAAAAAAAATGATAAACTGACTTCATTGAAATTCAAAACGTTTGCTCTGTGAAAGATCTTGTTCAGAGGATAAAACGACAAGCTACCCAGTGGGAGAGAATATTTGTGAATCACATATCTGACAAAAGACTCCTATCCAAAGCTCTTGAGACACACAGTAAAAAACCCAAACGATCCATTAGAAAATGGACAAAAGACATGAAGACACATCTCACCAAAGAACATATATGTATAGTAAGTAAGCCCATGAAAAGATATTCAACGATACTAACCATTAGGAAGACATAAATTAAGACCACAATGAGATATCACTAACCACCTATCAGAACAACTAAATAATAACAACAGTGATGGCAACACCAGGTGCTGGTAAGAATGTGTGGAAACTAGATCACTAACATATTGCTGCTTGGAATGTAAAATGATACAGTTACTCTGGAAAGAAATCTTGCAGTTTCTTAAAAAACTAAACATACACTTACTATACAACTCAGCAGTTGTACTCTTGGGCATTTGTCCGGAGGAATGGAAATTATGTCTTTCAGGAATAATCATAACGGCTTTATTTGTGATAGGGGAAACAACAAAATGCCTTTCATCAGATGGATGATTAACAGACTGGTACATCCACACCTTGGGATACTACTCAGTAATAAAAAGGAATGAACTACTGATACACACAACAACTTGGGTGGATCTTAAAAGCATTATGCTGAGGGGTGCCTGGCTGGCTCAGTTGGTGGA